CTTGCACGCGGCGTGCGGAGAAAGGGAGTGAAAGGGAGAGCAGGGAAGGGGAGGGAGAGGGGAAGAGGCGCAGCGCGGAGCGGAGATTCTCGTTTCGCCGAGATTTACGAGAAGCCTGTTGTATTTATTAAAAGTTTTGTTGAAACCCCCGACCGGGGTTCCGTGCTTCTCGTGAAAACTCTGAGAGCGTCTGAAACGATATTGTAAAGAAACGGAAGTTAAGTATCGCTAATGAAAGAAATGACAGGGGGAGGGAGAGGGGAAAGAGAGAGAGAGAGAGAGCCTCCAGTTGGAAATACGGTTTTTAACCAAGGGGGTGGGTTTCTGCCCACCATTGACGGGATTCGTTGTAAATTATACACCATAACACGATCGATTTAATTATAGAAAACTGTTAAAGTAATTTAACGGCCAGGTGTTACGAGATAGGATACTTTGCAAGGTAAAGATTTTTACCGTAGAAATTTTATTTCTTATGGAGTTGAACAACGATCCGTTTCTTTTTTTATCGTAAATAAAAAAGAAAAGTAAACGAAAATGTATTTGTTTCGATTTTACAATTTCGATTTATGCTTTTTAAGTTTGTGTTCGTAGCGAATACGGAGATCGTCGAAGGATTCTGATATTGAAATTTCATACAAAATTCGGTGGAATTCTTAAGAAAAGATTACACGATACCAAAAAAAATGTTCGAATTATTAAGATTTCTTATTATTTTATTTAAAAAAAGAGAACTTTCATAGAATCATAATGATCAGAATCCTTTAGAAGATTAGAATCTCAATTTCATCTCAATTCACCCGAAGAATCACGACAAAGAAAAACGACGAAATAACATTTCCTTTCTGTTACAGTACTACGAAATGTCTTACGGCCTAAACGTGGAGATGCACAAGCAGGTAAGCGAAAATTTCTTCCCCTATATAGAAACAATTTCATTCCTTGGACTGTCATTCGTATTCACGCGCGGGGAACGAGGAAGGGGTCTTTATCACCAAAAACACGTGTATATATATACGTCCCCTCCATTTTCACCAACCAAATTTTAAACGTTAAGCTCCCCCCTCCCGCTCAAAGAATACCTGATTTCTATCGCGCCAGCGACGAGGGAGGTAGGGGAGTTTAAGGATCAAAAGATTTCTCGTTAATTAAGTTCGGAATATGTCGGCCGATCCGAACGCGGTGTCTAACGGCCACCCCATGCTCGCAAAAACGAAGGGGGTGACGCCGCATCTGGCCCGGGAAATCGTGTAATTTTGGCTAATTAGGGGAAACACTGGGCCACCGTCCCCCTTCTGTCAGCAATTTTCTTAAAAGCGACCACGACCCCTCGTTGCACGCGAACCTGGTTAAATCTCTCTCTCTCTCCTCTCTCTCTCACGCACACGCACGCTCTCTACCCCTTGCTCTACTCTCCTCTCCTCCTCGTTTCCCGTAAAACAGAGGCGAGGAGGAGAGTCCTAAACTCCCAAACAACCCTCCCTGACACGGCGAGCTGATATTCATTAGCATTAGCGGCCGATCATTTCTCACCCTTGTACCCAGGGGCGTTGCTTAATGGGGTGCAAGCCTGGGGACAGGGTGGCAGGACAGGGATCGACATCCTCGCCGAATAGGCAGGGCCCACCATTAAATCGGCGCGAAATTGTGTCCGGTGGCTCAAGTGGCAAACTAGTTAGCCTGGGATGCTTTTATAGGGGAGGGGGACGTTGTTATTCCCGCGTGTCACATTCCAATCGACGCGTGAATCCTTGAAACGGTTAAATTAGACGCACGCTATTTTCAATTATTATTCCGGGAAGAGGGGGAATTTTTCTTAAATCGATGATTGATCTAATGCGAAAAAAAGAAAGCGAAAAGCGATGGAGAACCGAGGGGGGCGGAGAAACGCGTGTTCTCTGATGAAGGTTTGTCGTCGATCGCGCGGGAACGATATACTGTTTTGTGTCGGGGAGGAGGGGGGGAAATGAGAATAAGTGGTTATTCGATACGCTCGTATAATTGCTAATGGACGCATAGGAGGGTAATAAAGAGTGAGAGAGAGAGAGGGGAAACGGAAAATCGCTGGTCGCCCAGGAAATCAATCCTCCTCTCCCCCCTCCTCGGGCGACGTACCGGCGGCGACAAATTGCATTGAACACGCGGTGTGGTTCAACGTAACACACCGTGCTTTCTAACGGTAATTAGGGAAGAAATGAAAAGTTATCGGCTCTTGCGCCGGATCGGTTAATTAGGGCAACTCGTTACACCTCGCGTGTTTATCGAAGATCGCCGATTTTTTCCCCCTTTCCTCTCTTTCTTTCGCGCATTTTGAAACGTTTGAATCAACGTTTAAGGGAAATCTAACGAAGATCGAGGGATCGATCTTCGTATTGTAAAATAAAAGTTCGCTTTTATCGTTTTATTTAGAGGACGAATCAGAAATTGTCGAAGTTTTAATACTCGCTATATTAATTATTATATATATATATATATATATATATCTTCCTTAATTCTTCAATTGTTCGCGAATCAATACGCGAGTTCGTAAAAAATTGATTACGTTACCACTTTCGATTTTTTCTTTTTCTTTTTCTTTTTTTTTCCATCCCCGCGCTCCTCCACTTTGTCTCTTCCTCCGTTTCCTCGTTTCAGCGCGAAAGGAAGCTAGGCGGAGACGAGTGGCGAGGTGGAGAGGGAGAATGAGAAGGAGAAAATAAATCACCCTCCGTTTGGTTGTCTCCGGCACTTAGCCGGCTTTCGAATCGCGGTCTTCGGTCCTCGCTCCTTTTCAATTTGAGCACCGAATGAAAACAATCTTCCTCTACGAGGTTAGGTCCCCCTCCCTCTTCTCCTCTCTCTCTCTCTCTCTCTCTCACACAACCGACAACCCCTCTTCCGTTTTTACCCTTCTCTTTTTTCTTCTCTTTTCTTTTTTTTTTTCACCACGGCACCATTGGCGAGTCCCTCTGATTTCATCCTCTCGCTTTCTCTCCCATTAGTCCTGTGTCGCTGCCTCCGCTCCTCCCCTCCTTCCTTCCCTCCTCCTCCTCCTCCTCCACCCTCTTTCGTGTCCAACCCTCCCCCTCTTACCAACCGCCCCAAGTCGACATTTGCCTCCCACTCGGCGGCCCGTTCGAGCCCGCAACCACCACTTTACCACTCGCTACTCGACTAACTCGAATTTGTTGGCAATGTCCCAGTTCTTATACGGGTCTTTCTCTCTTTTCGCCCTCCCCTCTCCCCCCTCTTCAAATAATCGCACGCGGCTCGCCTAGTAGACCTCGCCACGGCCGAGGATCCACGTGCACGTGGATAATTAGAGGAATCGATTCGATGCGATTTTGTCAGGGATAGAAAAGAGGGGGAGATTGATTGATTTTATATTAGTTGACGATCTTTTGCGCGTGGAAGATTATGTATACATGTGGAGAAAGAGGTGAATTTATTATATCGTTTCCGTGATAAGGGATTTGTTAATATTATTTTTCTATATTTTTTATTCGACTCGAAGAAATGATTGTAAATCTCCTCGATCGATCTTTTTTCGTTGATTTTTAATAATTGGATAAACTCGTTTTGACGAGTTGTATCGTAGATTTTTGTCTTTCTTACGATATGAATATATTGTGTTAAATTATATTTCATCGTGAGAAATATAACGATTCAAGGGATTATTCTGTGAAAAAATATTAATTCTAATGATTATCTTGTCTTTGTTATATTTCGATATTTAATTGCGAAATTATGTAGGATACGATTTGATAAATCGTGTTACGTGTTATTATTAGGATTTGCAGCTAGCTACTTTGATACGATTTGGTTTAATTCGATGTTGTACAAGGGGTGAGGGAGGAAACGTTTTGTTGATTTATGAATTGTTGAAAATGTGTCGTACATCGCTGCATGCAGACGAGTTATGTGTCAGAATTATTATTGTAAATGATAATTTTTAGTTGAAGACCAATTTTTCAATGCGACGTAATTATTTTTTCCTTTTTTTCCTTTTTTTTTTTTTTTTTCCCAACAAATATCGATCTTAATTATTTTGGACGGGTGTGATTCGGTTGTGATTTTTATAATGCAATATATGTATAAATGAAAATTAAATTCAAAGCGAAGGGAACGAATTTGGCACGTTCAACAGAGGGGATTCGTTGCGTTGTCGCGTGTTTAATAAATTTCGCGATTGCTAAATTTACTTGCTGCACTTTTCGAAGACGGTCTCTTCGAAATTTTACAGGGGAAAAAAAATAAAATATCCACAATTTCACAACTCGTATCATTTTAACTATTACATAAATTTTGTACACAAAATTTATTATTATTTCCAATCTTAAATACCAATCGTAAAGCGCACATTTGAAATTTTATTTTTTATCTCATGTTGTAATAACTTAATTCTCTTTTTTCTTATACTTTCGTAGACAAAATATCAATTTGTCGCTTAAATTATCGCAACTACAAACATCTTCTTTCTTTCCAAAATATCCATTTTTATTATATCACACACAAAAATACCACGAAATCGCGAATTTCTCAATGATAGATCATTAGAAAAAAACGGGGAATAAGCAGCTAGACATAAAAAAAGAACTTTTATTACCCTTAGTAGACGATAGAGGTGTTCGATGAAGTTAAAAGTTGGCGGAATCGCGCCTCATAGAAACGATACTCGACTGGAAACAACGAGGACAACGAAAAGGGGTATTATTCTTACCTCTGATTAATTGTTCTCTCCTCCCCTATTTTTTTCCAATTGTTTTGATTTTTCGAGGGTGCTTCGACAACAGGCGCAACGTCGCTTCGAGATTTCTATCGGAAATGAAATTTTTTTTTTCGAATGGTGTATCGCTCGAAAAAAGGAAAAGAGAGAGGGAAGAAAAAAGAAAGAATCGTAAAAAGCGCAGCCGACTATTAAAAAAGAAAAGAAAAGAAAGAAGAAGGAAAATATGAAAGGAAAATACGGACTAGGATAAACTAGTTTGCGTTAAGGGGGAGGGGGTTGAGATTTAGAAGGGGTAAAAGTGTCAGAGAGTTTGAAAAAGAATGCGCAAGCGACGGGACTGGCACGCAACCGCTGTTTCGTTCATCCAACGAGAAAACTCGTTGGATAGGTTCGCGGCCCACCTATCCGATAACGCTTATCGCTTAATTGAAAGGCTCGTCCTTGGGACTGGTTGCGTGCTCGTTGCGTCCTGGTCAATTAAGCCACGATCTATGGCGATATGCCGCGGATATCCGTCACGCTTTTGGATTTTCCACAACCTAGGCAAAAAGTAATGCCACCTTTGACGTTCAATCACGGTACATTGATACACACATCCTGATACAGACGTAAAAAGTCAAAGATTTCACCAAGGGAATTGGTCGGAAAATTATACGTCTTTAAAAAAATATCATAAGATATCTTAAAATTCTTCGTAAAAAAAAAAGAAAGAAAAAGAAATCTTTGCCATATACGTTTAAACGTAGAAACGACGATACCTTCGAAGAGGTGGATACCTGCTACCTGTTAAGTAGCCGATCTTGGAATTCCCCTGTTGGAAAACGGAAGATCACCCCTTCGGAGAAGAATATTCGTATCGCCGTGGGCGTTCGTCGATACAAGAGTAACTACCATTTCCCATCGCGGGTGCGCCCGGCGCCCGATAAAAAATGTGCAGGCTGACCAATTGCATATAACTCACCCTGCCTTTCCAGTTCTTCCTGCCTCCTATGTATATATATATATATATACATATATATTCATATATATATATATATACATATATATATATACGTCTATCTATCCGCGTGCGTTCGTTCGTTCTCTCTCTCTCTCTCTCTCGTTCCCTTCGTTCTCACGTTCTCTGTCCTCCCTTTCGGC